TTGGTGAGACCACTGTTGGGGGACGGAGGGCTGCAGGGTGCACAGGACCACCCTGGGAAGCAGCAGCGGGGTTAGAGCAGAAATCTGCTGGGGGGCCCTGGTCCCCTTCCCCTCTCCCCGCATGGCTCAGCAGAAGCAGCGCTTCCCACCAGCCACCTCATTCTGGGCACTCAGAAGGGAACAGAGCAGATACCGAGAATTGTGACTTAGTTCCCCCTAGACAGGCCACATTTTTTTTTTAAAAAAAAAAACAAAAAACAAAAAAATCAAGTTCTCTCTGTCTCCAGCTTGGCAGCCAGGGACCTCTTTGTAGAGGAAGTGTGGGCCCTGCCTCAGTTTCCCCAGCAAGGAAGCTACTGGGGACGTGCCAACCTCACAGGACTGCAGAGCTGCCTCGGCAACGCTGCCAGAGACGCCCAGCACGGCAGCACCACCTTCCCCAGGGGCGCCTGGGGGTACACCACAAGGAAAAAAAACCCTTTTTCTCCTGCTCACCTCCCCCCCCACCACAGCAAGCAGCAGCCGGAGGGCCGCCGTAGGCAGAGAGCCACCAGCATCTGCACCCCTTCCTGAAGATGCCAATAGCTCTGCAGGTTGCACTGCTTTGGCCACTGTTTTTGCAGGTTTTGGTTGTCAGGACCAATCCAGGCTCCACATCCCCAGTCCCCTCCACCATGGTAGTGCCGCCCCCCCCCGCTTCACTAAAACTGGGGGAAACTGAAGCACCAGAGAGGGAAGTCACTCAGGCAGTGGAATTTCTGCCCCAGCTGAAAAAGCTTGAAGGGGGACTGGGAGGGGGTGACATCCAGATGCAGTCCCCCCCACCCCCCGCAAAAGAAGAGACAAGGATTCCACCCCGGCAGCCAAACCAGGCTCAAAGCCCCCCGCACTGGGAGCCCCAGCCAGGAGGGGAGCCGGGCCAGGCTCTGCCGAGCCAGGGGCAGCAGAGAAGCCCCAGCCCGGGCACCCCGCCACGCTGGATGCAGCCTGGGGCTCGGCAAGGACAGGGACGGGAGCTGCGTGCGTACCCTCCAACACTTTATCCAGATCCGCGATGAACTCCTCCAGCTCCTGCGTGTCTCCGAGCTTAGCTAGTGGAGAGAAACACACCGTCAGGTCTCTCCCGTCCCCGTCCCCCAAGCTCTAATTTGGGAAAGATCCCTACCCCTTGCTTTTAACCGCAATTGCTCCGGCTGCCCGCTGCTCCTGTACCAGCCGGGAGCTGCCTGGCAGTGGTGGGAGGGGGTTACGGGGGGGCTGTGTGTGTAACGGGGGCCGATCAGCTCAGGAATAACCCCTGAGCACAGCGTCCCCATGGGATTACAGCCCCTGCATCAAAAGGCACCAAAACAGCAGCGCTGGAGCTTTCCAAGCAGCCGCCCGGCGCTGCCTGGCTCCGGTGGGGCTCGAGGGCAGCTCTGGCATCGCCCGTCCCCCGGGCTGGGTGCTCCCCCCGTGCGCACACACAGGGCAGGGCTGAGGAGCAAGGGGGTTCACCAAGGAGGTAGCTGGGGAGGGCGAACCCCAGGACTGGCCCTGACCTGCAGACACGCAGCATTTCCACCCCCTCTGCCCCTCGCCTCTGTCCCAGGCTCCGGGGGTGGGATGGTGCCCGCAGGCATCACGCGGCTCAGCATCCCTAACCCAGCCAGCGGTGCTTCAGGCTCAGCGTGGGGGAAGTGGAGAGGCAGGGGGGGCCCTCCCATGCCCTCAAGGTCGGTCAGCAAGGGCTCAGCCGTGGCCAGAGCTGGACTGGACCCAGACACGGCAGGCAGGGCGCTCACCGTCCCTGTGCCGCCTCATCCCTGCGCAATCCCGCGCTTCCCGGCTCAGGAACAGGGCCCCTCTCTGCGACCCTCCCAAACAGACCTCTGCCTCAGCCTAGCCTTGACTGGGAATGTGCCAGCCCAGCTCCGTACCTCTTCCAGGACCCAGCCAGGACCCCAGTGCTCATTCCCACCTCCAAATGCTGCAGGGCCCCACCCCCCGCCTCGAGCCGCGCACGCAGAAGGATGCCCTGGCATCAGCCCTTCGGGCAGCCCTTTCAGCCTCACCTTTGGAGGGGTAAGCGTTGGCAGGGGTGTTGAGGTCCTCCTCGCTGGAGTTGAGACTGCTTCCCGGGGAGGCGCTGGTACCTGTGGATGCAAAGCATCAGTCACTGCCCACGGCCACCGGCACTTCACAGTTTGCAGGACCAAGGAGCAATCTCATGGGTGGCACAGGGTCCCCAGTCCACCCCCCCACCGCCTTGGCCAGCCCGTCTGCTATTCCCCTGCTGCAAGCAACGCTTGGAAAAAGGGAACCGAGCTTCTCCGCCAGGCCTAACGGCACCAGAGTTTGCCTGGGTCTGGCCACGGGGACTCCCTGGGGTTATTACAGGGAACTGGTTCCCTCTGCGCTCCCAGTTTTCTCAAGCCCCGTGCAGTCCTGCAGCAGCCAACCCAGCAGAAGGAGCCCCAGCAGATGCTGGTGGGCCCGGGGCCAGGATCCAGCAGTCATCACCCCACGCTACTCATCCAGCCCTCGAGAGATGAGCCAGGCGGGATCAGCTGGAATCTCTGTGGTTTGCCATGGAGGAACCCCAGAGCTCCCAAAGCAACTCCATCCCGACAGACACCATCCTCGCCCAGGACTCCTCGTTCCCCAGCCCCGGACTCACTCTCCAGCTCATCGATGCCGCTGTCGTACACGCTGTGTCCCGCTTTCCTCTTCAGCTCCTCCAGGTGCTGCTCGTATTGGCACGCAGGGCCTCTGTCAAAGTCCTCCATCACCTCATCGAACTCCCGCAGCAGGTCGCTGAGCTCATCAGCCATCGCTGGGGGCAAGAAGTCAGCGGAGGGAGGGGTCTGGGGCACGCACCCGGCCGGCAGCCCCAGCCCCTTGGGAGCAGCTCCAGGCTGGGGACAGGGCAGACCCAGGCTCCGGGCCACGGCCACCTCTCCGCGGGCAAGCTGCCAGCTCTTGCTCAGTGCAGCAAGTTCAGGGCGGACGTTCCCCCTCGCCCTCCCCGCGGAGCTCTGGGCACATCCAGCTCCTTGGACAGCTCAGCCATCCTTCCAGTTCATCCCACAGCTGAGCGGGGGCCCAACCCAGTAAGAACTGGTCCTAAGCAGGCAAGAGTCTTGAACTCGGCCCCAGCTTCTTCCCCCGAAGGCAGAGGGAGGCACAGCAGGGCTGAACAGGAGCCCAGGACCCTGCTGAGCCCGGGGGGCCAGCAGCAGCGCTCCACAGCCCAAAAGGGAAGCAGGGCTGTGGGTCCCCGGGGCCAGCACAGCCGGGAAGGGGCCACCGGGGCCAGCACGGCCG